GGCTTTAAGCTTTTGCACTGAGTAACAGCAGGCCTTCGGCTGTTAAACCTAACAAGTTCTGAAACTATTTCTCCTCAATATTTGTTATTTAAACTTTCACGGGAGTTGTTTAAGTCATCTTTCCAAGAACAATTAGTACTTTCTGAAAATAAACTGGATTATAATTATTTTTTAATTTTGTTTTACATTTACAGAATCCCTTTGAATATTGATAATGAGCTCCAGCCTTTACTGAGGTCAATGGCAGAACTCCCATTTAGTTCAGGGGAGCCAGGATTTTATATCAGTGTCATCAGACTGAAAACAAGTATATTTTGTTATTCAAATGCTAATGTTCCCAGCTGTTGAAAAGAATCGTAAGTATCAATGCACAGTCCTGATGAACACAGCATCTGTCAATTAAAATAATTATGACAACCTAAACACACTTCTGGTTTATATATTTTTAAATCAAACAGTTCCTAGGATTATTGAAGATGAAAGACATGAGAACTTGTTTTTAATCCTGCATTTATTTTATGAATGACAGTACTTTATTCATATAATTAAGTTTACTGTTTTCCCTGTAGCCAAATTCCCTTATTTGTATGGGTCTTTCAGACAGCAAAAGAGAAAATTAAAAGAATAAAATGCAGTTGTGTTCTGATATTGCTTTTCACTGCTTTTAACTGAACAGATTTCAACTTGATACATTTTAAGGATATAATTTTAATTACTGCTTTGTTTCCTTGTTCCACCACCCCTCTGCGTGAATTCAAATGTTACTCAGAACAGAGAACTGTAAACTCTGATTTATATTACAAGAAAAATTGGAAACCCAACTTTGATGGACCATAAGGTGTCTCTCTCCATCTTTATTAGCATTTCAAAATACTATAAAACATGTTGCAGGTACACCAAGTGGATGGATTTAAAAAATATTTTAGTGCCAGTTATTTCTTTTCAAAACAACAGTGGTACTAGCTCACTGACCAGGAGGAAAAGTATTAATTTTTGCATAACTTAGTATAACAGAATATCTAACAGTAGTAGTATTACTTTCCAGTATTTATTTTGGAACACCAAACCAAATCAGCCCATTATTGAAATCCCTGGCTGAAGTTCTGGCCAAATGTGACCTTGATTCTGTTAACCCTGCACCACGAGGCATAAGGAAAGGAAGTTGAACATAAAAATTAAATAATCAAAGTAAGTGCATCAGGATCATGGGAAGATGCAAGAAAATTATCATGTCAAATACTCTCAGCTCTGATTTTACTGGCGGTCAACATAAGAGATGCCAGGGGGCCAATATCTAAGACAGGATACATTTTAAACTGTAGTCTTAAATGATATACATACAGTATGCCAATACTCAAGCTAAAACACTTTTCCAGCACAAATTAATTAAACATTCAATCAGGTGGGCACATATCCGGGTTTCCAGGCTCAGTGAGGCATGGTACAGGGATTAAGTATCAACATTTAAGAAATATGCATCCAAAAAGGCCGTGCAGGTATGTGTGACATACCCATCTCAGACATGCAAATCATGTTCACTTCACATGGACTCATATGTCCATATGGAGGGTTTGAGTTCACAAGTGCTTTGGGAACTTCCGAGAGAAGACTTAAACAAAACAAATTTAGGTTCCCAAGTGATGCTCAAAAACCACAGCAAGCCAACTGCTTAACTAGAAACTGCATGCAGTACAGCAATTTGGTCCACTTGGCCACTTAACACCTAGCTGTAACACGAGACAGTCAGCCGAGTCTGCACCCCATCTTATCTCTACCTGTCCTAGAACACAAGCAGCTTTGAGCAGGAACTGCTTTTATCTGCATGTTGTAAGAAGCAAGGTTCTCCATAGGGTGGGGAAGCCCAAGAGCATGTCTACCCAACTATACAGCTAGTCCAATCAAAGATATCACCACAAAAAACCCACACAACATCTTGCTTTTCATATATTTTCTGAGCCATCGCTGCTACAAAAACACTCCAATCCTACTACCTGTGTACTATATAGCATCAAGGAAATGTCAGTGCTTAGCAAATTACTCATATTAAACCACAACTTCAAAGAAAGCTTTGAGAAGTTCTTAAGTTTTGAAAAATACCTAGAATCCAGGGTCTGTCAGATGACTAAGCTGGAAGCAAGTCTTGAAATCAATGAACCTTTATTGAGAACAATGTGTCCAGGTAGCTATGAACTCAAGGGTCTCATCTGGACGCACAACTGCCATTTGACCACATGGATGGGCTGGGGAATGGTTTCTGTAACAGCCAGAACCTAAACCAAAGAGCACTTGTCAGACGAAAACTAAGGTCTTCACTCATACATGTTGACCACAAATGGGAAGCCAGGAGCAAATGCATATAATACTTCCCATGAAAAATGCTGGTTAACATAAAATGGAATTGCATTCTGAACCAGCTGCATCTGGTCTTTAGATTTAGAGTGCATCACAGCACCAACCTTGAAGGTACAAAGCATTTATCACTGCACTGAGTTCTTTATTTGAAAGGAGCTATTGCAGCTATTGCAACTTCTTACAAAGTAGACAACAGGGGAGGAGGGGGAAAGTAGGCCTGATTTCCTTTGCTTGTTGAATACTCAGAAACAGCTCAGGATCCAGTCAGTCCCTCCTCTTTGTGACCCTGGCTAACAATGGGCACACTGTCTCAGGTAAGGAGATAGATATAGACTGCATACACACATTCAAGTAACCTAGGAGAATTCTCCTTGGTTTGTTTTCCTGGTAGAAAAACTTACCAGGAGATGCAGACATTTGAATGCTGAGCTCTTGAAGAGCAGAGACCTTGCAATACTGAGGCTGCACAGTAGGTCTGTGCAAAGCTTCAGTAGCTGATTTGATTCAGAGGAGATTGGGTCCAATCCAGTGACCGAATCTCCAAATCTGAATCGAATTGGGAAACCAAGTAAAAGCTCCAAATCAATTCAAACCGTCCGAATCAATTCAGAAAAAGATTCAGAAAAGATTCAGCTAATTCAGAGATTCGGCCACAGATTAAACAGGCAGCTGACAGCTGCCTCCAGTCTGGCAAGCTGCCCAGCTGGGGGGCACATTACTCGGGGAGGTGGGCTGGGGGGTGTGGGATGCAGGCGCAGTAGTGCTGGGAGCGGGGGCTCTACCCTGCTGCCACTTGCCCAGCCAGGTTGAAGGGGGGTGGGATGCAGGCACAGATCACTCCAGGCTGAATGGGGCAAGCAGAAGCAGGGCATAGCCCCCATGGCTCCCCCTGCTGGGGCAAAGGCAGGCACAGCTTGGGGAGCCACAGGAGGAAAAAGAAAAAAGGCTCCACAACTCACTGGTTGCAGGAGCGGCAATTGGGGCCTTGGTGGGCTCATAGCAGAGCCCCCCACACAGTGTCGGACACTGGGGGGAAGCGGGGATTGCCCCCCTCCGCTTGGCACCTGTGCAGCAGCTGCCCCATGGCACGGGTACAGTGCAGCTCAGCAGGGTGGTGGAGCTGAAGCAGTTCTATGTGGCACTCAGAGCCTGGAAGCGCTCAGCCCCAGTGACCCAAACTCCCAGACAATGCACAGTACCTGCCAAGCCGTACTACACCCACACGATGCGACAGCTACCGCATGAGTGCCAGGCAGGGGGGGGAAGAATCCCTGCTGCCCCCCCATAGTGTGTGTGAGGGGCTCTGCCATGAGCACCCACGGGCCCCCAATCACTGCTCTTGCAGCTGGTGAGTGCAGGGCTTTTTTTTTTTCTTTTTAAAGTGCTGGGGCTGGGCAGGGCAGCCATGGGGGCTTCTCTAGCAGCTCCCGCCTGGGGAGAAGCAGGCACAGCCAGAGGAGTTGTAGGAGAACCTGAAGCCACCCAGCTGTGCCTACCTCTCCCCAGCCAATCCGCATCACCGAATCAGCGCCAAATCTTCCAAAGCTAATTTGGTTGACTCAGTTCAGGACAGCAATCTGAATCAAATCACTGTCCTCCGAATTGAACACTTCCCTATTTGCACAGGCCTACTGCGCAACCAGGGGACTCTGCATACACCTCAGCATGCTTTGCAAACTCCCTCAGTCTGCCCATAGATAGCTGGCAGCAGTGCACACAGGACAGTTCTGACTGGATGCTGCAGACTGCTCAGTCAGCCTGTGTCTCCCTGTAGCAAGTTGTGGGATTGTGAAGGGGGCATGTTCGGCTATCTGCTTGGCTGGTGCAGCAGAGTTCAGTGAGCAACATACCATCTCCCAGAGGAATTGGGGGAGGGCAGGAGCAAAGCACCACGGGATGCTGAAGGACAGTGCTGTAGCTTCTCTCAGAAGAGAACACGTACAGACATTTGCTCTCCCAAGAGAAACTCTCAGGAGCAATTTAACTCCGATTGTTCCCCAAGCTTTTTTTCTCCTGGAGCAGCCATTTTTGCTCTTGGCGAAAAATCCTTAATATCTGTACACCTGTAGTTTCTCATGGGAGAATTACTGCTCTCCCAAAAGAAACTGAATGTCTGTACATAGCCACAGTCTCTGCACTTTCTTCTGGATGCTTCTGAAAGTCAGTGGGACTGAAAAGCCTAAGTCACTTAGGTGGTTTTAACAAGTTAACCTTAAAAATCTCACAGCTAATTCTCATTGGTCAAACAGTACAAAATTACATGATTGCACTACCTAATTACGAAGAAGATGACACCCAGCTTTATATCCACATATTTCAAGCATATAAGCTTACCCTCTCATTATCACCCACATACATATACCAGCTAGAGAAGCACTGCTACAGAATTCTGCTGACCCACATGATAGCCCATTGGGCAGATTAACAGTCACCCACCCGTCTTCTGGAGTGAACAGATTTGCTTGCAACAGCAAGACCACATATTCGGAAACGGTCTGTAGCAACATCACTACCACATGGCCAACAGCTTCGAGTGCAGCAGGCAGGCCCAGGAGAATCACCAACTCCTATCACCCAACAATACTTCGGAATTTCATAAACTTGCTTTAAAAACCAACATCAGCATCCCCCTCCAAATTCATACATACCTGATCACAGCCTGCATTCACCAATTCCTGTAACATCTGCCTATTTACTTCTATAGTTGCTGAGGTGCCTGACTCATTAGCAAAAGGCAATAAGGAATATCTGATTTCTCGCAGTGCTTTTTGATAAGGTCCAAACTTGGCTGTTGGTCTCATTTGCTGCTGCCTGGCAGCATCTTTCCCTACTAAAATTTTAGGGTCCAGAGACGTTTCACTGCCTGGTCCAACAGGTAAGACCTGACCTGAAGATTTAGAAGGCTGCTTTAAACCTTCCCGAATCTCTTGTAACCTTTGTCTGCTGTTTCCAGAATAAGTTGTAGCAGGAAAAGTCTTTGGCCTCATTGTTAATCCAGTTTTCTTTCAGCATAAATAGTCTCTCTCTTTTTTTTAATGACACTTTATTCTGAAAAGTGTTTCTCTCTTGATGGTATCAATTTGTTGTAAACATAATCCTTAAAATTGGTTTCCACTCTGAATGTTTTACTTCAGTTCACGATCTTTGTGGCTCCTGCAAAGAATGAAAACCCCCAAAATCTTCATTTTGCAGACTGACTGTATCTGAAACAAAAGAAAATATAAACAATTTAATATGGTTTTCTGCCTCTTTTAAACAGTTTGCTACATATAGAAGTGCATTTTTTTTAAATAAGGTTTCTTTTTCTAGGCCCAAGATTTGAAAGGATTTTTCAAACTGATGGCTGATTGACATTTTTAATAGAATGGTCAATGGTATTATCCATTTTTGTAGAAAGATGTTGACACAAATTTTCACAGGAAATTTTTATTTCTCATGACAATTTTAGTTTCCAAAATAGTTGAAAACCACAAACCCCAAAGTTTGAAAAGTTCACATTGCCTAACATCAGGCAAAATTCTCACATAACTGCATAACAAAGAATTGGGCAAACCTATCTTTTATGTCATAATTAGCAGAAGATATGTCCATACTGAGATTTTCTACATCAAGATCATGTCTGGAAAAAAGGCCCTGGTTGTTTTACAATTACTGAGTTACAAACAAAGGAAGAGGAGATTTTTAATGGAAACCGCAACAGCTCTAACTAGAGTATTTCCTACTATCCAAAAGCCAACCTCACTAACCAGACAGACAAGAAATTCTCACATTCTACTTTAACCTTCATAAATGCTGAAGATGCAGAACTTTCTTCAAGAGCAGCAAGAAAAAAAAAAATCTACCCTGCACTGCAAGGGCCACATTCTTTTAAATGCAGAGTTGTATTTTACCTACTAAAAAAATGCATTATTCAGAAAAATATAGATGGCAGAATCTGAGCTCCAAAAGTTAACATACATAGTGAAAAATAATAAAAATCCCAGTCTGGAAACAAGGCAAATATGGGACAGGACATTCAAATATTAAACTTACGAACTCTGTAAGGGAGTCTACTTTCCTTCATATGTTTTTATACAGTACCTAGCACAATGAGGCTCTGGACCTGGCTGGGGCTTCCTGACACTAACATGATAAAAATGTTGCACAATGGTGTATTCAAAGGACGATTAAAATGTCCACTGCTGATGCACCACACACACTATTGATGCCAGCTCCACACCTTGGCTTCTGCTATGGTTTAACTAAAAATACTGTCCTCTCTAATATCCGTATTAGCACATAAAGATATGCATTAGCACATAAAGTGCTCATCATCTATACATCTGTATCGCATTATGAAGTAGGTAACTATCTGCTGTACAGGTTTTCCATTCAGTTGTTGTGGAATGGCAAATGCAATTTTTTTTTTTTTAAGTTGAGGAAGTGCTTTATTTCCTCACCAGTAACACAAGTCAAACTAAAGGGAAATATTTCAAAAAGTTCATTTCTGGGAACAGAAAGTTTAAGCCCCAAGAGAAAAACTTTTCCATAGCGATTATTCCCCCTCATTTTCTATAGTTCCTACAATTGTGAAAACTACATGATTTTTCATCCTGAACAAGGGCGTTAAATCAAAAGCCTCTCTTAACTCTGCACTTGGACGTGCGTACTATCAGAACTTGGAGAACATCTCCAGATGATCACCATCCATCTGCAGAGCCCACAATGCCTGCCGTTGCCTATTTTGAAGGGTGAAGGCATGAAATCACATTTCAAGTCAGCATCACTCCCTGGTTAGTAAAACATTCACTGTTGAACCTTTAAACCAGCAGCAAAACAAAAAAACCCAAGATGGTAGAATCAAATTCGAGTCTCAGTTATGACAGTGCATTTCTGATTGGTGGCACTGCTGAATGAGGTGCTGTTACCCCTGGTCTAGGTGGTACTGGAAGGGCACGTGATGCTTCATGAGGGTGTAACATAAAGGGTATCAGACTGGTGCCTGCAGGCAGTATCCAGCCTATAGAACTGTTCTGTCTTGCCCCCCAGACTACTGGTGGGCCATCAGAAGTTGAGGGTGTGGCTGAAGGCAGGACCTGCCACAGAATCCAGAGCCCTCAGTCCCAGGTAGACTTGGCAATAGGCAGCAAGGAGGCAAGGAAGGACTAAAAGAGCCTCAGTCACCCTCCAGCTGCTTAGCTTGTTGCCACTGCTGCAACCCTACCTCCCCAGACACTGCCTCCAGCTGTACGCACTGTGTCAAAGCCAGAGCTGGAGCTGCCACCATGACACAAGGCACACAGTGGCAGCAGTTCCAACTCCACTATGGGGCATGTGACAGGGACTGGAGACACCGTCGCATGCCCTCGGTCAGAGCCAGAGTTGCCACTGCTGCCACCACATTCTGGATTGGAGCTGGAGCTGCTGCCACCACCACATGCTCACATTCCAGGCTGGATCCAGTCTACAAGGAGCCCTGCAGTTTGGATCTGGCCTGGGGCACAAAGTGGTTTTGACACCTCTGACCTAAAATGATCACTTAACACAAGTGCTAGAGTTCTGGACTTTGCTGCTGAAGGCCCTAGGTTCAAACTCTGCTTATAAGCTGTGGTAAAGGGTTGGCATGAAAATAGTTTTTGTTTAAATAAGAAACTACTCTTTAGAAGTTAGCCAGATGACCTGGGTTGCATAAGCACACACTAGACAAGAACTGGGATCAGTCCGAGATCTCAAACTCTCCTGTCTCCCAATGTGTAACCCTGAAGCACATTTGTCTAAAGTTGCAATTGGCGCCAGGAGAGACAAATGTCTTCAGGCATCTTGAAAAGCTTTTGCCATTTGTGATAAGAAAAAGAGGTTCAGTTATCATGTAAGGCCAAAGCTTATTCTCAGGCACATGCAGCATGGCTTCTATTGAAGTCAATGGTTTCCAAGAGATGTTCCCAAGGGGGACATCAGCAGCTAGTACAGACTTTTAATAAACAATGACTTTAAAGAAACTCATTTAAACAATACTAATGCAACTGGTTTTGGAACACTTCATAACTAAACAGCCTGTCATAAACTGAAGAAAGAAATACCAATTTATTGCTCTTTCTTCTCCCTGACAGCAGTAGACACCATATGGCTGGGCTGAGGAGGAAGAACAAACAAGGACTCCTCTCAGACTTAGTGCCAGTGTTCAGCCATGGGATGTGCTGGAGAAGAATGCAAGTCCCCCACCTCTTTGCCACCTTAGAATTACATAACATGGCTCATATAAAGAAGTTTTGTGACCCATGATCCTAACTATGATTCTCATCCTGTTGGGTCAAGCCAGCTGGCAACTTCTTCAGCTTTCTCTCTGGTTTAGCAGCATTATCTGAGTAGTCACCATTACATTTACAGTATGAATGGGAACAGCAGCAGCAACTACCATAGATAAGTGTAAATGTGTTTTTTTTTTGTTTGCCTGTAGAAAGCACATTTCACTTAATATGCAGGGCATGCCAAAAATTGGAAGTTAAATCTGCAAAGAAAAAGAAGTTGCATACTTTTTTTTTCAGTTCCTTGTGATTTGTATTTTTAGAAAAAAATAGAAGTACTTTTTAAACTAACACAGACTATCTATCTGTGCTTAAGCATTTCTGCCTTGTACTGTCCCTATGTGGCTAGTTCAATATCCTTCTGACCATCACCCTGCCTACCATCCATGCAATCTAAAGAAATCATTCTTCAAATGCATTTGAGTTCTAGGTCACCAAGTAAACACTCCTAAGGTTCTTTTCAAAACATTTCTGACATTCACTACTTACTAGAAACTTTATGCTCCCAATAAAACATTGTGTTGCTATAATTGTAGCAAGTTAGAACAATTTTTGTGTAACTGACTTCTATTTTCAGTTGAGAAACACTGCCTAAGATTGAGGCAGTAAAATAAATACAATGAATTTAAACAGTGGGGTTTGTTCTCCCTGGGGCCCAAGATCCCTTCTTTTTTGTTCCTACATTCTGCATCAACCAGGGGCTCCACTGGCCTCAAGACATACGATGCCACAGCCCTGCTGTACGTTTCAAGGGAAGAGGCACAAAGCTCAAGATATCAAGCTGCTGCTTCAGTCTGTATCCCTGCAGAACCCTATACCCAAACTAAAGAGAGTGGCAGAAGCAAGGAAAAGGGGTGAGGTTTAAGAAACTGCCACAAGTCACCTCCTATCTTTGTTTCCCATTGTCTCAACTCTTGGGTTTGTCTTGTCGATTTAGACTTCAAGCTCTGAGGGGTACAGTGGGTCCACACAAGGGTGCCACAAAAGCATAATACAAAATAGTTCTGCTTTATCCACAGCAGCATATGTGAAGTGGGGAGATGGACTAAATCCAGATTTATTCCACTTCTATCCCCCTCCTCCTATCCTCTATCCCACTAATAGTGCCACATTCAAACTACTGCCAGTGGGGACCTTCATCCCAGTAAAACCATATGTATTTGCCCCATCTCAGGGGCATGGGCAACTGCCAGGATCTTAAATAACTCCTGCGCTTGCCCATCACAGCCACTGTAGGGCAAAAAAAAAATCTAAAAACTGCAAATGAGACTGCTCAGCTGGCAACTCCCATCTCCAGGCTTCCCAAGTTGCGGATCAGAAAAAAACCTGAAGCCCTCAAACTGAGGCATCACTTCTGACCACTACTAGACATCACAAGACCGAACACACTGTGGTAAAATAAAGTAGGGAACAGAGCCCAGGAGCCCCAGCTCCAATCCCTGCTTGTCCTAACTAATCACGTAGACAGCAGAGCAGCTTCACAGCGTATAGCCTAGCCAGAGCAGACCGCACATCGCACCAGTGCTTGTGAGCTGACGTTCACTCCCTCAGATGCTCCTGCTCACAAAAGCTTGCGCTATATATGTGCCTGTATATGTGTATGCACGTACGTAGATATTATGCGTACGTATTTATGCCCACGTGTGCGTACAGGCACACGTGCGTGTGCACACACTGACACGCACGCCCTTGGGCGAGTGCTCGAGCCCCGGGCCCCCAGGGGCAGGCCGCACCGCGCCGGGCCGAGCCGGGCCGCGGGTCCGTGCCA